CAGCCTCCCCCGCCGACAATGCCGGCAGCCGCCGCCGAGCGCTGAAGCTTCTCGGACGTCGACCGCGCCGCGCGCGAGCGCACCGCCTTCGCCATGCCGAAGCCCGTGGCCCCCGAGGATCTGGTGATCCCGCCGCAGGACAACCGCATCTGCGGCATCATCTGCGTGTGTCAGATGACGGCCGTGCTGAGCAGCGTGGCGCTGGTATATCTCACGGTCGCCATCTACATGCCCACGCTGCGTGCCTTTCAGTCGGGCATCAGCGAGGTGCCCGAAATGTGCACCACGACGCGCGCCTGGTTCCGGGAGAACTGCGACTGGCTCACGTGCGGAGAGTGGTGCTTGAGCAAGTCATCCGGCGCCTGCACGCAGATCTATGTCAACTTGCGCCACAACGGCTCCGAACTCCTCTTCACCAACTGTACGCAGACGACAAATAAAACCTGTTACGGCATTGACCAGGAGAACGCCAAGAAGGCCCGCTGCATTGCGGATGAATGTAAGAATCTCACCGGCACGTTTAACTGCTCCCAGGGTGAGTGCATCAACATCACTGACGCTTTCGAATGCGTCTTCAACCAAAAAGGGCCCCCCACTAAGTGTTCCGGCAGAAGAGGGAAAATAACGTGTATAGACTTGGAAGGTTTACAGAACTGTGTCCGAGGGACTTGTGAACGTATATTGTCACCTTATAACTGTGATCGCCGCTGCCTTGACATCCCAACCCGCAATAAAAACGTGATAATTCTCAGTGGAGATAGAGTGTATTTATCGCAGTGTGAACGTGCATTTGACAAAGAGACGAACACAGAAGTGTGGTCGGAAGACGACAAAAACATCGTCATGGTGTCGTGTTACTTTATTCAGAATACCACGCTAGGGGTGGAGGCGACCGACTGCATCAACGGGACCCTCGTGGACGACCTGCAGTACTTCGGCGACAAGACCAACTTCACGCACCTGAGCTACGTGAGCGTGACCAACACCGTGCTCATGGACAAGAACGGCATCGTGGCGCCGCCCGAGCAGAACCTCATGATCGCCAACGAGAGCAACCTGCTCATCAACATGGAGGGCTGCGTCAACACGCTGCGCGACGAGTGCCGCGACTTCCTGCGCGAGTACGGCAAGGACGGCACCGACCACAACGCGCGCGCGCGCTTCCCGTGCTTCTACGCGCACGACGACCCCAGCAAGGTGGTGGCGCGCTTCGACCTCGCCGGCACCTACCAGAACTTCCTCGTCGCCAGCATCCTGCCGTCCGTGCTGTTCGTGGTGTCGTGCTTCATGTTGGTCTTCTGCCAAAAGACAGTGGAGGTGGGCGACGACGCCAAGATGCGCTTCAGGGGCTGCCCCAGCAAGGGTCTGTCCGCCGCCGGCTCCAGCGAGAAGGCGTCCGCCAACAACCTGGGCGACGGCGGCGGGGGCGAGTCGGCGATGGCGCTCTGAGATCCGTCACGTAAGATCCGTTCCCCCACCTCCTGCCTCAACCCTCTAATTATGGCTTCACTCGATCTAACGAAATGTATTAGTAAAAAGCGCTTGATCGGAGCTGGAGAAACTCACACACCTTAACGAAAAAGAAACAAAAACTGCAACGACATCAATCGATGAAGTTCATCCTAAGAAACGAAATGCACAAAATATTAATAAGTCAATTTGCAGCGTTGAATATACCTAATTTGTGGGACCAGAGATATCGATTTTTTTACAAGAAATCCATTACTTTTCTCAATATATTATGAATTTTTTTTTACTACGGGAAAAACAAAAAAAAATTTTGACACTGAAAACCAAGGAAAAGCATAATATCCAGGGATGGTTTTATAGAATTAAGCGGTACATTAGACTCGAGTTACTCTCGTATAATTGTTTCCCATAGTTTGATTACTTTTTGAAATCTACTCACGGTATTACGGATTATTCACAAATAATTCGTGAATAAACGTTTTAATGGTTGCATTTTCATTAATTTATTCATTTGATATGTTAATCTTAATAAATTAAAGTAAATCTTTAACAAAATGTAGAGTGCAAAGTATATAATAACATAGCCTATACCACTGGAATGAGCCTACATTTTGTCGTGTTGCTATTAATATACATACAGTAAAATAGGAAACAAAAAATCATCATTCAAATCGCTGAGATTCTGTGCGTATTATTGAAGTATCACAGTTATGCGCCATGCTATTATATATCGCTAAAAAATCTACGATTGCGGAGCGGTAACTAAACGTCGTGACGTCAAGAGGATTGCAGGCGCTGCCGCCTGCAACAAGGTCATGCAGGGCTGCCAACCGCCCGCAGCGACCTGCCCGAGGGAGATCGATTCACACGGCAGTGCCGAGGGCGACGGTGGCCCGATTCTATGCTGCCCCCGCCCACGTCGCGATGTGTGGAGCCCGAAGAAATCCAAAGCTTTTGTGCCAAAGCCAAAGTGATACTTTGGCTACATTTGCAAGTTATTTTAACGCATTTACAATAAAAAGTCTTCATAGCGAGTGGAAACTGATCGTTTCTATTTATAATAACGATATTCAACACCTTCAAAATAGGAAGATCTTTATTAGATTAATCATCTCACATTCATTGTTAACATACATGAACCTTAATCTACGTTGATTTGCATGAACATACAAACCACTTACTGCACAATTCAAAAACTCAAAATGTAAAATATACAATTCAAATTCATCTCTTTATCTGGATAACCAGGAATTCCCCTGCTACATATTATTTTATATTTTATTTTCTCACACAACGATTGCCAGTTGTCCTGCGGTAATGTACTACGTTTTACATAGTACAGCTTATTAGATCGATAATGACTGTTAAGGAACCGATTTGCTAAAGACTCCGAGCCCATCGAATTTCCTTGTATTCCCACACCTTGTCTTTGATGTCTAGCAGCAAAATAATGCTTTGCAATTTCACATTATGTAAACAGATAATCAGAGAGGATTAGCAGATTAAACAGTCAGAATTAACTTCACATCACTGCACTTTCAGATAATAATGAAAACTGGATGCGAGATACGCCTAATGGTAAGAAGTGCTCGCAGTAATAATAATAATAATAATAATAATAATAATAATAATAATAATAATAATAATAATAATAATAAATAGTTGTTGTTGTTAATATTATATTTCCAACTCGTCGAAAAATCTTTTTAGTGGCATCGCTACCACGAAATCATCATTCTGAAGTATAGTTCATATCGAGGTTTCATCTTCATGCACACATAAGATGGTTTGATGCTTACATTTCAGTATATAAATATGCAAAATACACGTTACAGAACCAGATTTACGTGCAATGATAAATACAAAACGGTTAATGGAGACATACAATACCGCAAAAACGTTTTAAATTGATACTGGCAATATTATGTACCGTACGTAAATATAGAAAATACAATGCAACTTGAATAACTACTATCGTCCTACATTAATTCGCTTACACATCTTATAAAATGACCACCGGCAGACATGTTTGGGATCCGAATACTAACTCGAAATATGAAAGCGTAAAACAGCCTTAATGCTGTACTCAAGATATGGATCGTAAATGAAAAAGGTATAGAAAAGATGGACAAAAATAACTCAAAAAGTTATAAACAAACCCAATAGTGGAATTTACGGTCTTTTAACGAGAAAATAATAGGAAAGTGAAAATGAGATTGGATCCCGAAACCCTTGCGCAACTGTGATAATGATTTCTCCAAACACTCCTTCGTTGCTGAAAATTCATTTTATTTATCAATAATATTTTATCAAAACTTCTGAATTTGCTTCAAATGAAAAATAACATAATAACTTTAACCCAAGGCATAAACATTTGACTAAATATATTCCAAAATCGCCAATACTTCATCACCTCAAGAGCAAATGGTTTGCAAATCTCGAGGATTTATTGAGAATAACACGCTAAGATAGGAAGTGTTAGAATAATCTGCATCATTCATTTAAACGGGTTGAATACAAAGCTAAGCGTTTTCGTTTCCGCCGTACTCCATGAGCACTGAGAAGCGCAATACTGAGCGTTCAGCGACCAGTCGCTCCCGGATTGACTCCGAGAGCATTACCCCCCCCCTTCGACCCCGCGATCCAACGGAACGATGCGGGCGTCGCCGCCGCGCCGGCCGAGGCTCCCTGGCGCCGGGTTTCGAACCGTCTCGTCGCCACCCGCGCAGACCGCCGCTGCGGCTGGCCGGCGCCGCCGAGGGGTCACGCGGTCACGCGAGCGGCGGCGGAGGCGGGGACGTGGGGCCGCGCGCGCACGCCACGGAAAATAACGCCCGCCGCACGCGCGCACGACACGACACGACACGGCGCGGCGCGGCGCGGCACGGTACGGTGCGGTGCGGTGCGGCCCGGCGCCCCAGCGAGGCGCGACCGCGGGGACTTCCCGGCGACCTCGCGCTGCGCACGCCCGCCAACCACCCGCATCGCGCAACCGCCCCCGCGCTCGCAATCACTGCGCCGGAGGCGATCGGGCGGAATACGTCGCATGCGCTCTGCCCCGCCTCGTTTCTCAAATGCGATACGATCCACTACGGATTAAGAGGGTGGTTCTGTTTCTTTGCGGCTGAATATGTCTTAACAACATTAGGCCTATTTCCTAAGTAGACGCCGGTCGCTAAGAGAGACTTTTGTTCCTTCGGTTGTGTTATATCGATTTAACAGTTCTGCACAACCCTAAATATCTTAATGATCTGCGGAATGTCAAGGCTAGATCTTTCTCCTGACGGTTTTTACCAAACTTCATCTCTCTAGGTTAATCTAATAGGGTGACAGATCCTCCCATTCATATATACAAATTGATTTTATGGTACAAAATTGCACAATCACTTCTTCAACAGAATCACCATATTATCCAGCTTTGGAACAGCACTAATGAACCTTAATCCTGACGGGTGAGCGAAATATCTGCTGAAAAGAACTCTAAACACTGATATTATACTGACAATGATATCCGATATCATTTTGTTGTCGTGATTCCAATACTTTTCATACAGCAATTACAAGAGAAAAATACAAATAAATAATAAAGAACAGTACAAAACTTAATAGAGCTAAGGACAACTTACTACCTTCAAATTAAACTAAAATATGTCTCTTTTTCTTTCGGCTGCGAGTGCATTATTTAAAAAACACGCGTAAAACATTACAATTATTTGTTAATTGAACTAGATTGTAAACCTAAAAAATTGTCTTTAGATGACTTCATTTTCTCAAGTCATGCTTTAAACTGGCACTAGAAGAGTAAGGGTGTTTTTTTTATTTCCGGGAACGAAATTTGTAGCTTGAACCTCTCCCACTATAGTCATATGTGAGCCTGCTAGTGGTAACTCAAAATTTCCGCTCTAAGCAACACTTTCCTCATTACAGTAACTGGAGTGGCGCCGCAGTTAAGTGGTTGTTTTCGGCTGACCTCATGCGCCGACACTACTTCACACACACACACACACACAATTGCGCATCTGCGGAGAGCCTCTTGAAACAGAATAGGGCTCGGAGGCCTTCCTTTTACCCTAGAACACTTAATTGCATTTTAGCATGATCTTTGATCCCCGCATTAGCATTTAATATGTTTCACAATTTTTGTTTCAAGCCAGAATGAGTATACATTTTTTGTAGCTTTTTGAGAAATACCATCAAAATTATTGTATAACAATAAAGTTTCATGCTTTCTTAGAGCTCGGTTCTAAAAAATGGATTTATTTTTTCTTCAGAATGTGACATGGAAGGTATGGCAAATACAAAATGTCTTAGGTCACGAACGTCCAAGATATAGAAGGATCAAAGATGATCAGATTTGCCTATGCGTGTGGTAGGAACTTTCACGTACGAAGTTAAATGACATTTGCAGTAACACGAGTGGTATTTGCCCCTGATTGTGAGGCAACCCGTTATACACTGGTGTATGGCAGGTAGAGTAAATTCCATTACTTCAGAATGTGACCTGCTTAATACTGGTGCATGAAGGGTTGACAAACAGAGGTAAATCTCACACAAGTAACAACGTTACACAAAATTTACAACCGTATGTTCATTCACAAAAACTTCTTTTCCTTTGATTCCTCTAGAAGTTTGAATGCCCTAGAAGTTTGTAACATTATTCTGAGGCACTCAGTAGAGGTATCAGTCTCATGAAATTATGGTTTCACTAGAATATATTTACGTTCTTTTCATAAATACCGTATTTACCAACGTTTAAGATGCGCCTCCTTTCTAAATATAAGGATCTAATTAACCGGCGCCACCTGCATATTTATCACAATCATCTATTCAAGTAGATCCGCTCGCGCACGCGCGCGCAAACACGCACACACGCGCACTCTACCCGTTCCCACACACACCAGCCTAGCGAGCAATATCTCGCTACAATGGCGCAAGACAACGATACCCCGCATTGCGGGAT